CACAAGGAAACCTCAATATCTCTAATTGTGGCTCTGCTGGGGTATCACTCACCCTCTTCCCATTTCCACTGGGTTCATCTGATATATATTTTCTAACGTGTGTGGTATTTCTGGAATACTGAACACCACAGGGTGACTCAACAATAACACTATTGCCCGATTTACTGACAATTGTATGAGGTACTTTGTTGAATGGGGTTGAGAACTTGTTGACTTTCTCCTGTTTGAGTAGAACTTTATCCCCAACTTCAACATTTGAATATTGGGCATTTCGGCGATCATCAGCATATAATTTGGCTCTGCCCTTCTGGCTCAGCATCTTTATCGCGGACTTCCAAATCATTATGATCATCCATGTTGAAATCTGGCAATTTGCCTCTGATTTTACGATTAAACAAAAGTTCAGCAGGACTTCTGCCCGTGGTAGCATGGTTAATACCTCTGTATTTAGTTACATACTCCGGAGTTCTTTTCTCCAGTTCAACCCTTCTGCTTGTGCAATGCAGATTCTCTTCATCAGTGATTTATTTTGGCGCTCAACTTCTCCATTTGCCTGGGCCCATCTTGCAGTTACTTTTTGATGCACAACTCCATTGTGTTCACAGTACTCTCGAAATTCATCGGACCTAAACTGTGGACCATTGTCTGATTTGATTGTTCTGGGAAGTCCATGTCGACTGAAGATCTCTTCCAGGCTGTCAATCAGTTTCTCTGTTACAGTCGAAGTCAAAATATCATATTCATAATAGCGGCTGTAGTAGTCTACTACGACTAATATGGAATGTCCACTTGGAAATGGCCCAAGCGAGTCAATCGCAATATCCTGCCATGGCCCATTAGGGAGCTGTGTAGGTCTCAGTGGTTCTGGCGGATCTGGACGTGCTACTAATTGACAACCATGACACGCCCTACAATACTTCTCTGCTGCCTTGTCCATAGCAGGCCACCATACTTTACTTCTGAGATTTTGTTTTGTTCCAACAACTCCCAGATGTCCTTCATGGGCTAAAGCTAATGTTCGAGGTCTTAAAGTGTTTGGCATCACAATACGAGTGCCCCTGAATACAAGCTTTCCAATTATACACAGTTCACCTGCTATCGGTGCAAATTGTTTACATTTCACAAACCTCCCAGTTTGAATCGCCTCCCTCAGCTCTGTCAGCTCGTCATCAGTAGAGGATGCCTCTTCCACTTCTTGTGTGGTCAGTGCTTTGGGTGTCGCGTTAAAGCTTCTCGTTCAGACGGGGAATATCTGCGTTCACATTCTGTCAAGCTACGGCTAGAATAGCACACTGGTACCAGCTCACCTGCTTGCTCTTGCACCAGTACCGCTCCCAGCCTGACTGGGCTAGCATCCGCTATCACTTTTGTTGGTGCATCCTTAGCAAAATAAGCAAGTGTGCATGCCCTGGCTAGACTTTCTTTCAAAGCACGAAATGCAGATTTCTGCTCAGTACCAAATTTAAATGGTGTGTCTTTTCTGGTAAGTTTTCTTAAAGGCTCACCTAGTGTTGCAAACTGTGGTATGAAACGGGAACTATACGTGACCAATCCCATAAAGCTACGTAGTTCTGCAATGTTCTCTGGCTCTCTTGCATTCATTACAGCTTTAACTCTATCCTCTGTAGGACCTATGCCCTTTTCTGAAAGTAGCATGCCCATGAATACTAACTTATCCATGTTATAATGACATTTGTCAGGATTCAACGTAAGCCCACATTCATGTAATCGCTTCACAGTATTACGTAATT